CGGTTGGGGCGAAACTATTCGCCTACTGATGACAGCGAAAACTACGAATCAGTGTATTTTTTTGTGTGCTTGTTTTTAGATTAGAATGATAAGAAATTGGAAGAGAAAAACTCCTTTAATTAACAAATTAATTTTTATATTTTTTTAGTATTATATCATTAATAGCTGCTGGAATAGTTTCGCCCATCGTTTTTTTCGACATGAAAAAAGGGTTTCGTAAAATCGCTGTAGTTCGGAACAGAATCGAGTTACAGCAAAATAATACATGGCAAAATTGTAGCTAAGAAGTCAAGTGTTCAAACGGTCCTAAGCATTTTTTTTATTTTTTTTTAAAATACTTTTTTTAGACTCAAAAATCCAAACAGGAATAGTAATGCCCCACCCTACCCTATTTTAATAAGAATATAATTATTATAATAAATATTATAAATAAATTAATTATGTATTTCTATTCAAAAAGGATTTTGAGTGTAATGACTCTGTAATTGGTGCATTTACCCAGCGCACAGTGGGCCAGTACGCATCCAACAGCGGACAAAAGTCCACTTTAGAATTATAAATTTTACATATATAATAACCTAAATCTATAGTATTTTATGTAACTTTTTATAGAATATTATAGTTCTTTGTCAAATATTATAGCGGTAATTGTATGTTTGTTGAAAAGTTTGATTAAAAAATTAAAAGGACTCTACCGACTAAAATATTTATTTATTTTTGTATAAATGATTGTTTTTCTGACTTTTTTTTATTTCTTTAAAATGATATGTATTATTATGAAAAATATTTATAATAAATTAAAAAACACTATATTTAAAAAAATCATACACATTTAACGTCGGAAAATGTTTATTTTTTTAAAAATGCACTTGCTATTATTTGTTAGTTCTCTTAACTTCCTCGCGATATAGAACAAACTAAGCGTGAAATATCTTCTAAATTAAATGTACTTTTAATTAAATTTGCCGATTTTTGCCCATTTCAAAGTTTGGTGGAGTTATATACAAAATAAGGCGAAAAATTTCTCCTTGGATATCATTTTTTACAAAGGCAAATTTTGGGCTATGTACTTATTTCTTTCTTAAATTAATTAATTTTCTGACTCGTAACCTTTATTTCTTTATTATAAGATGTAGAATTTTGAAGAAAAGTAAAAAAAAATTGAAAATAGTTTATGTAATAAAAAATAAAGCACATTTGATATTGTTAAATTTTCCTTTTTTCGAAATTCATTTGATATTATTATATAGTTCTCCTAACATCCGCATTATATTCCCTAAGCTAAACATGAAATCTCATCTAAATTTAATATATTGTATTAGATTAATTTGCCCATTTTTGCTTATTTTGTATTTTTAAAAAATTATAAGCGAAATAATGCATAGTGGTTCAGGAGACCCTTTTTCGTGGCTAAAAGTCTAAATGTACTAAAAATCACTTCAAACTAGTTACTTGGGGATTATCGGAGTCACTGATTACAAATCAGATGTCAGATTTTTAAAATTCAAAATGGCGGATCAAATATGGCGAAATTTTTTTAAAGAAATTCAACGAATTTCATTTAGTCGTTTTTTAAGGGTTTTTATGGTTGTTAATTAAGAATTCGACGCCAGATTTACAAAATGTCAAAACCAATATGGGGAACAAATTAAAAAAATGTCAACAGATTCCCTTTAAACTCGTTGCTTGAGTGTTTTCGTGGTCAATGATTACGAATCCGACGTCAGTTTTTCAAAATTCAAAATGGAAAATTTAAAGTGCATTAAGAATTTGGATACCCAAGAATTTTAATCTTGTTGTTTATTCGCTCCTTACTGGCTCCAGAATCATCGAGCGTGTACGTGGTGAAATCAAATTATGAAGGAGATCTTTTGAATTTTTGAAAAATTGTCCGCCATATTGGATCTGCCATTTTGAATTTTGAAAATCTGACGTCTGATTTGTAATCATCACCCCGCAAACCCCCGAGTAACAAGTCCTAATCAATTTTTGGTACACTTAGACTTTTAGTTATGAAATAGGGTCACTTGTCCCACTGTGAACCCTAATTAAAAAAAATTTCTAAAATTTTGGGTCCATCATTTAAAATTATTAATTACACATTCTTATTAAGAACTCATAAAAACCCTTAGGATATTATTAACTGCTAAATTGAATAAGTTTTTAAATTTCTGATCTGAAATTGGATCCACCATTTTGAATTTCCAAAAGCAGACATCAAATTCGTAATCAGCGACCACAAAAATCACCAAGTAACGATTTTAAAGTAAATTAGATTAATTTTTAACATTGGCTTCTGCCATATATTGGATCCGCTATTTTGAATTTTAAATAAAATTGACATCGGATTTGTAGTCAGCGACCCGAAAAACCCCTAAGTTACGATTTTCAAAGGAATTAAATGAATGTTTAACTTTGGCATCGTCCATATTGAATTTGCCATTTTTAATTTTGAGAAACTGACATTGGATTCGTAATCAGCGACCCCAAAAACCCCCGAGTAACGATTTTTAAGTAATTTAGATTAATTTTTAACATTAGCGTCCGCCATATTAGATCCGTCATTTTGAATTTTGAAAAACTGACATTGGATTCGTAATCAGCGACCCCGAAACCCCCGAGTAACGAGTTTCAAGTGAATCCGATTAAATTTTAAGTATTGGCCGCTTTTGGCTACCTCCTGGCCCACTGTGCAGCGTAAAATCTTTAAAATTAATGTAAAAAAAATTAAAAATTGCAATTCATAAAATGAGGATTAAAAAGATAGAAAACGCTTTTACCTTCAGTTGGTAATTGTTACCAAATATATGTATGTATACAGTAAAAATACTTGCTATGAATCAGCCCTAAGCCTGAGTGCTTAGGTGCACTTTACAAAAGTGTACAAGAAACCAAAGGGTTACGAGAATTTGCATAAATTTACTGACTTAATATTTAAAAATTTTAACATTATAAAAAATTTGTTTCCTTTAGTAACAATAGATTTAACAAATTAATACAATTTCTTAATGGAGTCGATCTGTGGATATTAGCAGCCATTAATATGGGGACCCGTAAAAATTTTTGTTCTTGAGCCCGGTTTGTCTCGGAAACAGAAAATACTCGAAATAATTTATAATAAAATAGAAAAATTCATTTAAGATAAAATATCTCATGGTATATTATAACAGTTTTCTCTGATTTATAAATTATAAATACTTGTTTTATTGAGATAATAAAAAAAATTACCGTTTCCACTGAGTCACCCCTACTAAAAAAATAATGACAAAACATCAGAAAAATAATCAGAATTTCTGGTGTTTTTGAGCAGTTTTTCTTACAATTGCAGCTCAAAAACATGAAAAAGAAATAGAACCCTTCAAAATACTGCCAAAAATCATGAAAACTTTTATGACTGCCACCGAATTTTTTTATAGCATAGCAAAAAATCTTTTTTGGGGACGTGTTTTTGTTCCTTTATGTAAAAAGGTCGTCGCACGCCTTTTATAAATTAGGTATAAAATCGAAAAACCATTATGCCTTTTTTAATGTTTAAAATCATTTTTGTTTATTTCAACATCATATATAATGTTTATAAACTCAGATTATTCTGAAAACTGTTTTACGTATACCTTATACTCTCTTGGCTTAAAATTCAAAAATGATATCAGTTTTTACATATCAGTTATAGTTCACGAGATAGCTTATAATTTCTTCAAAATAAAGGTTTTGAGAATAAATTTTAGATATTTGGAAACATGAAATTTCACAGATTCTAAATTTTTAAATTATAAACTTCCATTAGTTAAATTGATCAAGTTTCAAGTAATAAAATTTTTGTTTAAACAATCATAAACCTTCAGAACAATGCCTTTTTTTGGTCGCTCGACTCAACTCAGTCACAATGACCAATTCGCTACACACCTTTCTTTAACAATAGATTTCCGTGTCTATTGTGATGATTTTAAAACAAGAATTTTATAACTTAAAACTTCTGCATTTTAACTAATGCAACTTTGTAACATAAAAATTTAGAATCTATGGTATTTTACGATTCCAAATATCTAAAATTTATTTTAAAAATCTTTTTTTTTAATTATCACCCAAACCTTATAATTTATTTTAACAAATGTTTTTTAAAATAAATTTTAGATATTTGGAATCGTAAAATACCATAGATTCTAAATTTTTATGTTACAAAGTTGAATTAGTTAAAATGCAAAATTTTTAAGTTATAAAATTCTTGTTTTAAAATCATCACAATAGACTCGAAAATCTATTGTTAAAGAAAGGTGCATAGCGAAGTGGTCATTGTGACTGAGTTGAGTCGAGTGGGCAAAAAAGGCATTGTTCTGAAGGTTTATGATTTTTTAAACAAAAATTTTATGACTTGAAATTTGTTTAATTTAACTAATTGAAGTTTATAATTTAAAAATTCAAAATCTGTGATATTTCATGATTCCAAATATCTAAAATTTATTCTAAGAAACTTTATTTTGAAGAAATTAAAAGATACGCTTCAAGTATGGTCAGCCTGGTTTGTGAAGTGAAGTGAGAAGCTGACAGTGTTCTCACAAAACATCAAATCCATACTAAAAATTCTGTCAGAAATAATCAGAAAAATGACAAATCATCAGAGTCAAGAAGAAGCATCAGAAAATCTGACGAATAATCAGAACTCTGATGTATTGTCATGATTCCTCATTATTTTTTTAGTAGGGACAGGTGAATATAAATAAATTTTAACGTCTTTTCAACTATACTTAGAAACGAAGTACGTTTATATTTAGTCGTAACGAACCTGCTGCACTCGTCGTTAATAAACCGAAACTTCTCGCGAAAAGAAAACTGTTTTACCACTCGTAGAGAACCTTTTTACTACTATATTCAAAGTCGATAAGAAACTTCCAGAAATTTCACGTTATAGATTTTCACTATTATTGTTTTGATATGTGACAATTTAAAATCTCTTCTCTAAAAAAAAAATTAATTCCCAAACAATTTTACGCAGTATTACTCACTTTTCTGAAGCAAACACCTGGAAAAGAAAATTTCAAATTTAGAAAATGAAACGTGATTATGGGAAATTCCCTCTTATTGTGGTTATAAAAAATTGATAGTGTTTTTAAAAATATTTTCTTTACATCGCACTTACCCTGTACTCTTCCGTATATCTCAAAATCAACAGTCACAAGTTTTGACATTCCGAGATTCTCTGTTATTACTAATTTCAATGACATTAACAAAACAATTCCAATGCTGTAAATTAAAAGTCTCACTGTTCTTGAATTCAGCATAAAAAATAGGAAATTATCAATATATATTATTATTATTATTATTTTTTCAATTGTTTTCAATAACACACAACACAATTAAACAAAAGTAGCAGACGATTTTTCGCTGATACGTGCGGAGTTACGTTACTTACGCGCAAGCGTAAGATGCGCGATTTGATTCGACGTTCAACAACAAGTAAACATAACCCTTTTTGCATTCCTACTAATCATATATTTACATCATGCGTTTAGTAATAATTTAAACAACATAAACTTAATTTAATTATGTAATAATTTCAACATGAATAATAACGATATATACAATTTGATAATATATCATAATATATTGCAATGATGTTGTCAAAACCACGATCGTCTTTCTTTCTGTAAATTAATTTTTCCTTTAAAAAAGAAATTTTGTCCTTATGGGACAAAGTATTTATTATTTTAAAGGATATATTTTTCTTTCTTTTTTTTATTTAAATAAAAGGAGTATTTTTTGGTGGAAATGTTTAATCAAAAAAATGTCTGAACCGGCTGCGCGGAGGTTAATTGCGCAACTCCCCTAGTCTCTCAGATCTCACACACGGGGTCGGCCATGTTTTATTTTCTTTCTGTCAAGTCAAATCAAGCAGCCAGCCTGCGTGTTGGAGTCGGCGCAACGTGTTTGTGCGGTTTTCTGTTATATCTGTGCTCTCAGCTTGTGTCAAAATAAAAAGTGAAAAAATAGTAGCAGCAACAGCACTATATCGCATTGCCACAGCAGAACCCAAGTGTATAAGACAAGTGAGTCTTCCCTCATCATAACAGTCTTGAATCACATGCAATGCGCGCTGGACGTGTGTCTCTTTTTTCTTATCGGTGCGCGATAGAATAAATTCAAGGTTCTTTTTTGCGTTTAAATATTTTTGTCAAAACTTGTGCAACAAAACGATAAAGAGTGAGAGGCTCACTTTTATTTCTGTGTTGTTCCATATTAACGAATTCTCTTTTTTTTCTCTCATTGCAATCGATCGTTAAATATATATTCATATATATATATATATATATATATATGACCTGTCAAAAGCCGTGTGTGTGGGACGCGCGATGCGTCATAAAAACGTGCGGAACAATATAAACGAGACTTGACGCGAGATAAGAAACAATAATTTTTCGTTTTCGATCATTACAAGAAAGTTAATAATAAGGTGATTCACATATTTTATAAAGTGCGTTTAGTATCATCGCGATGAGATATTAAACGTAGTGAATTTGAATAACGTTATAATTCCTTTAGTAAATTTTGTTAATTTTTAAACAAATTTTCATCATTCTCTTTTTTCTATAATTTTTCTTTTTTTTCGAATATCTATTTTTTCTTCCATTTTCCTCTTTTTCGAGTATTGAATATTTTTTCTTTTCTTACACTACCGGTCAAAATTGAGAGACCACCTATTTTCAGGCGAATGAAAAACGTTTTAAAACATAATGTTGATTGAAACTAAAATTGGTTTCTGTTCATTTTTTTATAGATAAAATTTTGAAAAGAACAAGATATTTCAGAAGTCGTTTGGCCAATAATTCATTTATAGATATTTTTAAAAAATCGTCATTTTCAATGTTTTACAAAAATTTGAATAACTTCTAAAATAATGAACGCTTTTTAATGATCTTAGGCTTATTTTAAAGGTCATTTGTTACACTATAAGAATTACTTCTAGCCATTAACGTGTAATTTTTTTCTTAGAAAATGCAGGCCGTCAAACTTGGACCAAAAAAATTCAAAAAATTTGGAACAATTTTTCTGTACTAAAAACTATTCTAGAAAATACAGTCAACTCTAAAATTTTTCTGTAAGTCAAAGTAATTCTTCCCAGGCGCGAAAGACCAATGCTGACGATGGGTTGAAGCTTGATTGAGTCTTGAACGCCCAGCGTGGGTAACCCAGAGTTGAAGCAGTCTTTATATCATTGTCACTCAATATTGGTTATTACCGTGTGCACTTAACAATATTAGATATAAATATTTATAAATTATTTAATATTAAAATATTTTTTATGATAATTTTGTATACTATTTAAAAATTATTATTAATAATTATATATTATTATTTTTTTCTTGCACAGTGTCAAATTATTGTTTTCAAAGTTTAAGAGTTTCGTTTTTCTGAAAAATTTTCAGTGAAAAAAATGTTCATTAGGGTGTAATAAATATTTATGCCTAGTAGTTGTACACTAGGATCAACTGTTTAGTAAATATTATCAAAAAACTATTTTTTGTCAAACGCGTGCGACTAAATACAAATAACCTTGAGACTTTAGCTTTATGCCAACTCAAGAGTTTAACATATGTGTTGAGTTGGTAATGCTGGAGTTTCAAGGTTATTTGTGTTTAGTCGCGCGCGTTTGACAAAAAATAGTTTTTTGATAATATTTACTAAACAGTTAATCCTAGTGTAAAACTACTAAGCATAAATATTTATTACTACCTAATGAACATTTTTTTCACTAAAAATTTTTCAGATAAACGAAACTCTTGAACTTTGAAAATAATAATTTGACACTGTACAAGAAAAAAAATAATATGTATATATAATTTAACTTATAAAATTATCATAAAAAATATTTTAATATTAAATAATTTATAAATATTTATAGATAATATTGTACAGTGCACACGTAATAAAGAAACTGAATATTGTATCAAGATTGACCGAGTCTTAAATCAAGCATGGGACGAACATTGGTGTCCCATGCTGAACCAATATTGAGTGACGGCACTGGCATTGATATAGTAGATTAGGCGAGAAGCCTTTCAGCCTTCTGTGGCCGAGCGGTTTAAATGCGTGCGTTAGATACTTCCGGCATGCGTTAGGGGCGGGAGGCGGGAGTTCGATCCCACATGCGAGCGAATATTTTTCATTCTTTGTTTTAAGCGTCATATAAAATAATAAAATTGTGTGTTGTGTTGTGAATAAAAAATGTGAACATGGTTTGTAAATAATGTTAAAAGTCTGTTAAAAAATCAAGAAAAAAATGTATCGATTAACAGAAAAGTTGTATTTTTTTACTAAAATTATTTTTTTAGTATTACTATTTCAAATGACATTTATTGTTAGTAATATATTATTTATACGAAAGTAATATAATTATTATAATAGTAACTTATTGCCATTAAATATATATATACACACATACATGAATTAAAATAATAACAATAATATTTATTATTATTATTAATAATTCATATAGGAGAGAGTGGGGCAAGACGGGGTACTTAAGGTTTAAAGCGCAAAAAAACGAAAATTATGTAATATATACTTTATTATTATTTTTTAATCATCTTTGGGAATCAGTCTTTCGTAATAAAAGCGTACAAAGGCCATCTGATTCTTAAATAGCTAATAATTAATAATATAGAAAAAATTGCAAATCACCCCATCTTGCCCCACCAGGGGGCAAGATGGGGTACTAAAAGAAACAACCTATTTCTGTCGACAAATTTCACAAGTAAAGGTTGCATCTTCATCTTCATGCATAACTGCAGTGAGCCCATTGGTCACAGACAAAAAAAGCAGCCCAGCCTTCATTTGAGTCTAAATAATAACCATTACAATAGAGACAAGGTGTATTTTCCACTTTACCATCGCTAATTGATGATTTAACCTGACAAGCTTTTTTCTTTTTGGTCACTCTTATTTTATTCAGTCTTGATTTTAGTAGTTCTATTCTCGGGTACGCGAGTTCTGTTCCAGCCGCCGTCGATTTTTCTCTAATATGGTTTTTTCTATTTCAGAAACTTAATAAAAAATAAAAATTGTATGTGACCTTCAAGGATAAATGTGTGTGTGTGCGGACGTGTCAAGGAGGGGAAGTGGGAGGGGGGAAGTAGAATCCATTTTTTCTTGCATTCGACTAACTTTTCGATTTTCTTGAACAGTTCCCGACTTTTTCAAGAACAGTTTGCCGAGAAGTGGTGAAATAGTTATAATTTGTAGAGAAATAGTAAATGACATATTTAAACGAGGCAACCTTTAGTTATCTGTGTACTACCCGCCGTATCCAAGAGTTAAGAACGAAGTTCCCGAATAATCCTCGAACTTTTTTTTTCCGTGTAAGAAAAAAATTACACGTTAATGCCTATAAGTAATTCTTATAGTGTAACAAATGACCTTTAAAATAAGCCGAAGATAATTAAAAAGCGTTAATTATTTTAGAAATTATTCAAATTTTTGTAAAACTTTGAAAATGACAATTATTTAAAAATATCTAAATAAAATATTCCAAACGACTTCTGAAATATCTTGTTCTTTTCAAAATTTTAACAACTTTCAAAAAATACAAAGAAAAAAATTTTAGTTTCCATACATTTTATGTTTTAAAATGTTTTTCAATCATTTGAAAATGGATGGTCTCTCAATTTTGACCGGTAGTGTACGTCTTTGTTTTTTTTTATTTCTAAAAAACGGGTGAAAAGTGTTAATTATAGAGGGAAATTTTCACATTCATACAAAAAGTGATTGAAAATTTACAAATATTGTATATGAAATAATTTTAAAAACGCGTGTTTGAAAGATTTGTAAATTTACAATATTTTCAAACAGTAGTGTTTGAAATTTTCAAAAATTTTTGTATGGATTAACTTCAAATACATATGTTTGAAAGATTTGTAAATTTACAATATTTTCAAACAAAAGTGTTTGAAATTTTCAAAAATTTTTGTATGGATTAACTTCAAATACATATGCTTGAAAAATTTGTAAATTTACAATATTTTCAAACAAAAGTGTTTGAAATTTTCAAAAATTTTTGTATGGATTAACTTCAAATACATAAGTTTGAAAAATATGTAAATTTACAACCTTTTCATAAAAAAGTGTTTGAAAAATTTATGTGTAAAATAATTCAATACACATATGTTTTAAAATATTGTAAGTAAATTTACAACTTTTTCATTGAAAAGTACTTAATTAAAATTTTTTTGAGTTTTTATACGAAATTGCTTAAAACATATGTGTTTAATAATTCTCTAAATTAGTTTAAAACATTATTTATAAGTAAATACATTTTCAAATGTTGAAATAACTAAAATTTTTTTTAATCAGTTTAATTAGTTTAATTTGCCAAAACTTGTTAAGAGAATAAAACATTTTGGATGATATAATATAATTAATTAATATAGTTAGATATTTTGTACAGATTAAAATTTAAAAACTGATAAATTAAATAGAAAAATATTTTTATATAAAAAATCTGCTGTTCATAAAGTATTGTTTAAATATTTCTTAAACATCTTAATACATATCATAAATTTAACAGAAACGTGAAAAGAAAAAAGTAAAGAATACAAGAATCGGTTGGTGAAGAATTTTAAAGATATTGAATCTTTAGAAATTTAGAAGAAGTCAAAAAAAGGGAATGGTCCACATGTTTCTTACTACTGATACTTTGCAAGAGATTTTCATAGCCTCCCTTGGTCGAGCGCGTCTAGGCGCAGCTCCCAAGGTTGATGGCTCCATACAAGACACACTATACACAGACAACACTATAGGGTAACTGTACCAATTGTCGAGGGTTTTAGGCAACATGTGACTTTGACATTTTTTTTCTCGGAAGTAAATGCACTTTAAAATTTGATTTTTGTATATTTGGACGAAGGATCTAATAATGTTTAATATTCATATTTATTTTTTTAATATAAACTAAATTGTTAAGCAAAAAATATATTTAAAAGTCAATCGAGCAAAAGCACCATTTTTCGATGGTCTTGTGCTAATTTCTCGAGGGTCTGTTCCAATTGTCGAGGGTATGACATTTTTAAACATATAACCCAATATAACCTAACAATTAACCTGTACAGATATTAGAAAATCGAGTAGATATTTATTTTTTTGATAAAAATATTATAGAACATTACCAGAAAACAAATATATTTATTTAACTATAATTGAATAATTTATAATATCGATATAAAACATTTTTATAGTAGATGATACAGGACAGAAAATTATTTAACTGTTTTTTAAACTTTTATAAATATAAGTTAATTAAATTTAATCAATTTTGTTAATCAGACATTAATTGAAAAAATAAATTAATTTAAGTCACATTAAATTTGTAAACGAATAAAATAAACTTTAATTACAAACTGTAAATATAATGGTTAATTATAATTAAACTATAGTACAAAATTTTTTAGTTTTGAATTT